CTCACCCTCCGCATCTCTGGCCTGTACCCCAGTTCTGTATGTACAAATAAAATAAATAAATAAATAAATTTTAAAACACAGCACCAAGAAGCTAAAGCCACTTCAGCAAGATTTTGATCCCCAGCCCTGGAGGTGATCCCACATGGCGTGGCAGACCTCTCCTGACCTTCCTGCTGCTCCCCTCAGCATTGTACTTCGTTGATCTGCCCGTTCTGCTCCCCTCTCTGTCTATGGTGAATCCTCTCACCACTCCTGCACCTCTGGCCTATACCCCAGTTTTGTATACATAAATAAATAAATCTTTAAGAAAAAGGTTTCTATCAGGGACCCACCCTGCTGGCGCAACAGGTTAAAGCACAACACAGTGAATGAAGCTATTGCAGCCACTGCAGCACAAATTCAATCCCTGGCCAAGAAGGTGATCCACATGGTGTGGCAGACCTCTCCTGGCCTGCCAACTGCTCCCCTCAGCATTATTTTCAGTACCACTGCCTATTTTGCTCCCCACTGTCTCTGGTGAATCCTCTCTTCCCCTGCACCTCTGGCCTGTACCCAAGTTCTTTACACATAAATAAACAAATCTTTAAAAAAAAAAAAAAAGACAGTTCCTATCAGTATTTTATTCCTTTTTATTACTAAATAATATTCTATTATAAGACTATCACATTTTATCTGTTCATTTGTTGGTGAACTTTGGGTTGTTTCTTTCCTTGGCTATTACTAATAATGCTGTTATTTAATTACTCTTATTTAGATTACTAGGTTTGAAGTTAGTGTTTCCTTTGCTTAAATTTGTGTATCTTTTAAAATGCCAAACTCTTTCCAACTTTATATTTTTGCCAAATCCCCACATCCTTGCTAACCCTCGTTATTGTGCGCTTTTTTTTTGCTAGAAGCCATCCAACCCTTATTATTGCCTTGTTCATTTATAAAATTATAATATATTTAAAGTATACATCATGGTTTGATATGTCTATAGTTGTAAAAGGAATTTTACCATCAAGTTAATAAAACGATCACCTTAGCTCTCATATTTAACCTGATTTTCTGTCTGGGAACATTTACTTTCTCTCCTAGCAAATTTGTAACAGTGTTATCAATTATAGTTAACCATGTTTTACATTAGGTCCTCAGAGCTTATTCATCTTACAACCTATAGTATATACCTTTTACCAGACCTCTCTGTTCCCTAAACTTCCAGCCCTTGCACTCACTTTTGTGCTCTGTTTCTATGAATTTGATTTTTGTAAAAGTGATTTCACATACAAATAATGCTGTACAGTATTTGTCTTTACTCTGACTGACTTCACTTACTATAGTTCCTTCAGATTCCACCCATGTTGTCCAAATAGCAGGATTTCTTTCTTGTTCATGAATAATGTGTGTTTGTGTTTGTATATCTCCTATTTAGATGGACACTTAAATTATTTTTGTATCTTGGCTATTATTAATAATGTTGCCATGAAAATGCAGATATTTCTGAGATACACTGTTTTCATTTTCTTTGACTGTATGCCCAGAATTAGAATTGCTGTATCATATGCTAATATTCTTTTCCACTCTTTGAGGAATTTTAATACTGTTTTCCTTAACCTTGACCAATTTACATTCCCACCACAGTGTATAAGTTTCCTTTTTCTTCATATTCTCATCAACACTTGTTATTTATTGTCTGTAACAACCATTCTGTCATGTGTGAGGTGGTATCTCATGGTGATTTTCATTTACATTTCCCTGATGATTAATGGTGCTGAGCATCTTTTAACCAGATAATTTCTTTGCAGAAATGTTTATTCAGTTCTTCTGCCTGTTTATTTTTTTTTTTTT